AGTTGACTAGGGGAGGGGAGGCCCTCAGCCCGGCCTGCACCCTCTCAGTCTGGGACACCTCAGGGGATGTCCGCCTGCCAGATGTGGCCCGCCCCCGTGGGGAGCAGGCCTAAGCCAGCAGTCAGACATCCCTCTCACAGTCCAGGACCCCTTGCTCCTTATCACCCGCCTGCTTGCTGCTCCTTAGTGCTGCCACAGAGGTAGGAGAGGCTCCTGCCACTGCCGCTGCACTTGCCAGCCGTGAGCCCAGCTTCTGGCTGAGCGGTGCTCCCTCTGTGGGAGCGCACTGACCACCAGGGGGAAGCTCCTGCATTGAGCATCTGCCCACTGGTAGTCAGTGCCCATCATAGCAACTGGTCATTCTGGTCATTCCGCCGTAAGGGTCACTTAGGCTTTTATTAAATAGATTCATATCATACCGCTTTTCTTGTTTCAGTTCTCAATATATAAATCTGTACACTCAGAAAGACATGCTTGTTAGGGACCAAACAGTATTTGTACAGCCATGTTCCTAGCAGCTTTATTCACAACTAGAGGCCCAGAGCATGAATCCGTGCACAGCTGGGGTCCCTCGGCGTGGCTGGCGATCAGGGCCTATCAGGGGGCCAGCCAGCTGGGGGGAGGGACCTCATGAGGGGGTTTAGTGAGGGATGATTTGCCTTGTGAGCTCCCACAAGGGGAGTGTCACTCAGCCACAAGCCTGGCTGACAGCTGGCGAGCACAGCGGTAGTGGTGGGAGCCTCTCTCTCCCACCTCTATGGCAGCACTAAGGATGTCCGAGGGCTCCTGGATTGCGAAAGGGTGCAGGCTGCCCCCCGCCCCCAACCCCGACTGCATGAATGTCGTGTACTGGGCCTCTAGTATTAAATAAAAACAGACCTGGCCCTTCCCAAAAAAGGGAGGTCTTTTTTCTTAAAGCTTCAACCAACTGTGTACCAGGGGACCATAGGGGACATTTTATTATTGAGCACAGTCATTATTATTATTATTATTATTATTATTATTATTATATTACTATTTTTTAAAATATATTTTTATTGTTTTTATTGATTTTTTACAGAGAGGAATAGAGAGGAATAGAGAGTTAGAAACATCGATGACAGAGAAGCATCGATCAGCTGCCTCCTGTACACCTTCTACTGGGGATGTGCCCGCAACCAAGGCACATGCCCTTGACCAGAATCGAACCTGGAACCCTTCAGTCCGCAGGCCGACGCTCTATCCATTGAGCCAAACCAGTCAGGGCTATATTACTGTTTTTATTAAACTTCCCCCTACGAATGAGTGGGGGGCAAAATAACTTTAAAAAAAAACAGATCTGCTGTAGCAAGTATAACTCATTTGGCATAATTTTGGTATTTTGAGAAATCCATCAACATTATTGGCCACTAAACAATTAGTAATTCATTATTATGGTACACTTAAAATGGTGTCTTCTCACAAACATTTTGGAAAACTGACAAGTACATACTAAAACTGAATATATGCATACCCCATGACCCAATAATTCCACTCCCAGGTATATATCAATAGAAATACATATATATACTTTTTTTTTTCACAAAAGACTTAACAATGTTCTTCACTGCATTATCCTATCTAATAATAGAGAAACATAATAATTAACCGTAACTTCGCTACCCTTCCCATTGGCTAATCAGCAAGATATGAAAATTAATTGTCAACCAAGATGGCGGCCGGCAGCCAGGCAGCTGAAGTGAACAGGAGGCTTGCTTGCTCCAGTGATGGAGGAAGCCAAGGTTCCCTGCCTGCCGCTGCTGGCCTCTGAGCTTGCACTCTAAGAAACAATGTTGCAATTATAGAAGCTAAACAAACCCCAGAAACCTGCTTTCAGCCGTCAGAGCTGAAGCAAGCAGGACCGCAACAGTGTTACAATTATAGAACCCAAACAAACCCAGATACCTGCTTTCAGGTCTCAGAGCTGGAGCCAAGCCTCAGAGCTAAAGCCAGCTCTCAGCTCCAGTGACAGCCATAGAAGGTAAATAAATCCCAGAATAAAAAAAAAAGAAAAAAAGGAGAGGTTGAGAGCTTCAGTCACCCGCCAGCCTGAAAATGGGCCTCAGCCCCTCACCCAGACTGGCCAGGCACCCCAATGGGGACCCCCACCCTGTAAGGGGTGTGACCAGCTGCAAACAGCCATCATCCCCTCATCCAGACTGGCCAGGCACCCCAGTGGGGACCCCCACCCTGAAGGGGGTGTGACCAGCTGCAAACAGCCATCATCCCCTCATCCAGGCTGGCCAGGCACCCAAGCGAGACCCCCACCCTGATCCAGGACACCCTTCAGGGAACACCAGCTGGCCCCCACCAGTGCAGCAGGCCTCTATCCTATATAGTAAAAGGGTAATATGCCTCCCAGCACCGGGATCAGCAGAGCAGCTAGGCCTCCCAGCACTGGGATCAGCAGAGCAGCGAGGCCTCACTGCCCCTGTGTCAGGCGGAGCCGCAAGGCCTCCTATCACTGGGATCAGCTGAGCAGCGAGGCCTCATTGCCCCGGTGTCAAGCGGAGCCGCGAGGCCTCCCAGCACTGGGATCAGTGGAGCCACGAGGCCTCGTGGCCCCTGGAGCAGCGTGACAGGGGGCAGCGCCCAAACCCCCTGATTGTTCTGCGGCTCTGTGTAACAGGGGGCGGGGCCACAACCTCCCTATTTGCCCTGCTCTGTTCATGACAGGGGAAGGCGCCCCAAACCCCAGATCAGCCCTGCTCTGTGCCTGATAGGGGGGAGCTCCCCAAACCTCTGATTGGCCCTGCTCTGTGTGTGACAGGGTGCAGCGCCCCAACCCCCCCATGGGCCCTGCTCTGTGTGTGACGGGGTGGAGCCGCAACCTCCCCATTGGCCCTGCCCTGAGTGTGACAGGGGGGAGTGCCCCAACCCCCTGATCGGCCCTACTCTGTGGGTGACAGGGGGGAGCTCCCCAACCCCCTGATCGGCCCTGCTCTGTGCGTGACAGGGGTAGCTCCCCAACCCCCTGATCGACCCTGCTCTGTGCGTGACAGGGTACGGAGCCCCAACCCCCCTGATGGGCTCTGCTCTGTGCGTGACAGGGGGCAGCGCCCCAACCCCCTGATTGGCCCTGCTCTGTGCGTGACAGTGGGTTGCACCGCAACCTCCCCATCGACCCTGCCTTGAGTGTGACAGGGGGCGGTGCCCCAACCCCCCAATTGGCCCTACCCTTAGCGTGACTAAGGGTGGCATCACAACCTCCTGGTCCGTCCTGCTCTGTGCATGACAGGGGGCGGCGCCCCAACTCCCCAATCAGCCCTGCTCTGAGCCCGACCAGGGGCTGCACCTAGGGATTGGGCCTGCCCTCTGCCACCCGGGAGTGGGCCTAAGCCAGCAAGTCATTATCTCCCGAGGGGTCCCAGACTGTGGGAGGGCACAAGTGGGGCTGAGGGACACCCCCCCGCCAGTCACAAATTTTTGTGCACCGGGCCTCTAGTTTATAATAGTTCAGAACTAGAAATTCTTCAAGTGTTCACCAATGGTAGAATGAATAAATGTTGGATATAATAAATGGATAAATTAATGGAATACTATTCAGATACAATACAATTAAGATGAACAACAAATACATGCTACAATATAAATGAATCTCACTCTGGAGGTTGAATAATGGCCTCGAAAGATATCCAGGACCTAATCCCTGGAAGCTGTGACTGTTACCTTTTATGGCAAAAAACGACTTTTGCAGCCCTAGACTGTTTGACTCAGTGGACAGAGTTTCAGCATGCAAACTGAAGAGCCCCAGCAGGTGTGTGTGTGTGTGTGGGGGGGGGGGTGGCGGGAGGAAAGGAAGAGCAGGCGCCAATCGATGTCTCTCTCTCATAGATGTTTCTCTCTCTGTCTCTCCCCCTTTCTCTAAAAAAAAAAAAAAAAAAAAAAAAAAAATCAATGGAAAGAATATCCTGGGGTGAGGATTAACAAAACAAAACAAGATTTTGCAAATGTGATTTAAATTACGAATTGTGAAATGGGCAGATTATCATCCAGGTGGGCCCTAAATGTGGAGATAGGAAGATTTGACTATAGAAGAAGTGGTGATGAAAGCAGAGGCTTGGAACATGGAGGAAGGGGCCACAAGCCAAGAAAGACAGGCAATCAACATAAAAAAAGGCAAGAAAACAGATTTTCCACTTACAACCTCCAGATTCAGCAACCAAATCTGGTTTTACACATTGACTTTGGCCTAATGAAACTGACTTTGGACCTTTGATCTCCAGGACTGCAAGAAAATAAATCTGTGTTGTTTTACATCACTGAGTCTGTGGTAATCTGTTACAGTGGCATCAGGAAACCAGTACACCTACAAATTATAATGAGCAAAAAACTGTATATTACATATGATTGCATTAATCTATGGTTTTATTAGTCTGAATAGTAGTTACTTCTGAGGAGGAAGAGAAGACAATGTTAAGATAGGAGCAAGAGGAAGGCTCTCAGATGCTCATAATGCTCTGTTGTCTTGGTCTGAGGGTTAACAATATGAGTATGCTTAATTTGTGAAAAACCTTATTTGTGTATATCTTTATATGTATGGTATGTTCAGTTTTAAAATTGGTACCTTTTCAACATTTAACAATCTGATAATCTGCTAAAAAAACAAGATTATATTCAAGGAGGTGGGGAAAACACTTACTAAACAATAACTTTATTTCTCAAGAATGCTAAAGATTTGTTTCTCTCTGAAAGATTTTTTAAAATATCAACAGACAAAAGTGACTTTTAAATGTTAAAAAAAAAGCTAAAAGTAAAACATTGCTTAATTAACTTTTGATACCTACACCCTAGGACTGTAAATTACAAAAATACAAGTAAAACCACATTTTCTTCAATAACAGTAAACAAAGAAGAAAGTCAGGTACTACATATTTAATATCAAAATGTGTTTTGGGCCTAAGATTCTTGAAACTAGTAAAAATGTTAGTAACAGAAATCTCCTGTCATTAATCTGTATAGATTATGAAATATAAAAACAATTTATAAAACACATCAGAATTTTATTGCTTGAAGAATACAGCATATGAAATCACAAGAATGTCCAAATGCAAAATCACTAGGCTTCAAACATATAATACATTATCAGATGCAGTAAAATATTAATTAACCTGAACTCTGCATCAGAAAAAAAAGGTGTGGAAAAATATCTAAGTTGTTTACTTCAGAAACAGGTACACTTAAAATAGCAAGTATAAGGATGTTACAGTACAAATTAGAAAAGCCAACACTTATTAACTTACTGTGTCTTAGACTAGACTACCTTTGGTACTTAAACTTTAAAAAAACACACAATCCCTTCTATGTTGTCCAAAGCACATCATAGATACAATGTCAACTTCAACTTAAAACATTCTGCAAAATTAACCTTTTTGTGGCATGGGGAAGTGTATTTAATAAATGTTTAACAATATTTCACTTTTCCTAAAAGTGCAAAATATGATCATTAAGAAATCTAATACTTGTAAACTTTATTTAGCTCTCCAATTAAAATTGAAATCCTGACAGCCGCAAATTATCTTTGGGCTTGGTGAATACAGAAATTTAAATAGTTTGGCAACTGACAAAGGAATTTAGATTAGATTACCTCATACAATCTTAAGTGGCTTTTTCCATTGTTTCCAAAATACAAACAAGATGCCATTTCTTCAACACACTGGATTCCTATAAAAATCACTGCCATACTTTATTTATGAGAACCAAATTAAAGCTTCCTCCCTTTTAATGAGCAGGTTGAAACTACATTTTATGTTTCATATAGGGCTGACTAGTTATGACATGTTTTTTAAAACAAAACAAATCAATTTTTAAAGCTATCACTCTATGATGGAGATGATGTCATTTCAAAAGGAAGCATTGGACACTGTAGGCCATCTAGTCAAAAAAATGTAAGAGTAATGCGAAAAACAAACAATAAGTAAACTATAAGTTAAATTACAAAAAATCCCTCTTTTACAGCAAGCATGCTCATTAACTTTCCTTTTCCCCAGCAAAGGTTTGAATATTCATTAACCTCAGTTAAACCAATAAAACCTAAGCAATTGTTTCACAAGTTCCAATAAACATGGATGGACTAAGTAAGTAATACTACTGACAATTAATGGAGTGAAATAGTAAGAATCATGACAGTCCTCAAAATCGGGCAGTCTTTGAAATGTAATAGTGTAGCTCAAGATGAATTATGCCATAATAAAACAATAGGTTTTACCTTTACATAAAACAAAAACAAAATAAAAAACATGACCCACCAAATTTATACACTACTATGGAACATATCCCCCTCCCCCCCTTTCCTAGTTTTTGAATGGCTTGTTTTGAAATTCTTTCAAATAAGTATATTTATCTGAGCATATATGTGTTTGTGTGGCCTATACATACAACAGAACACTATTGTTGTATACACACACACACACACACACATATATAGCCTGTATATATACTCATTTTAAAAGACAAAAAAAATCACATACTACAGAAATGAACTCGTTCTTTTTAACCAATCTGGTCTAATGCCTACTGTATTACACAGCACCCCCTCCCACAATAATTTAATATTCCCAATTTTTAGTTTAGTTAAAAGGGCAGAGGAAATGAAAATACGGATTTAGAGTTTCTGTATAAATTTCACTGTACTTTTATAAAGTTGAAGTTTTCTGTAACACTGTTTATTGATCAATAAAGGACTCACTGCTATCTAAAATCTCATAAACACCATTAAAAATTCAAAATTGATATTATACTGAACCTTAAATTTTCAATTGTTCAAAGAGACAGTTTTCACATGAATAGCACACAATAGATGAAAATCAATAGCAGACATCCCTAGGTACCAGTGGCAAGTCCACCAAGATGCATACAAAATTACAGATAAGCATTTCTTTCACTGTTTTCTTGTGCAGGGAAAACATTTATAGAGGAAACAGAACCTCAGCTGGTGAATTTCAGATATCATCATCATCTTCTTCATCCTGAGAAGATCCTGCCTGGTTAGATGCACTGGCTGAGGCAGCAGCAAGCTGCGCTTGTTGGGCAGCTTGCTGCATTTGAAGCCATTCCTGCTGGGCCAGTTCTGCTTGTTGCTGTCTAGCCTAAACACCAAAAACATAAAAACAAGTAATTTTTAAAAAAAACCATAGCATACACACTTTAGTTAATTGCAAACTTAGTCATTATCAAATTTGGATATTTCCCAACCAATATATAACTGCTGTACATCTGGAGAACAGGAACTCCTTGAGATTGGTTCTCTTATAGATAGTCCCCCCTCTATGTCACATAATTTATGCTTTGGTTCAATTGAAGAAGCTGAAAATGTAGACAGGAAAATCACAATATCCTCTCTTTGGTTCCTTTACCTGTATTTCTTTTTCTTTTGTTTCACTTGATTCTTCTGTTCTCTCAACTTACAATTTAAAAAAAAAATTTTTTTATTGATTTCAGAGAGGAATGGAGAGAGAGAAAGAGAAACATCAATGATGAGAGAGAGTCACTGATTGCCTGCCTCCTGCATGCCCCACCACCTGGGCATGTTCTTTGACTGGGAATTGAACCGTGACCTCCTGGTTCATAGGTCAACACTCAACCACTGAGACACTGGGCTCAACATACCATTTTAATGCAAACATTTTTTAATCTACAATTTTTTTTTTTTTGAGTTTAAAAGCTCTCTACTACAGTGCCCCTAACTCTTGGGGAAAAGTACTATACATGAATGCAATAGCTATCTTAATATTTCTTTTGAATTTCTATCACAGCTAGTGATATATACATCTCTGTATATATACATCTCTTATTCTGTCCCTCTCCTTCCTCTATTAATATACACAAGCACACACACTACATACACAAAACACACCCTTCCCATATGTAAAAAGACACTTACCAAGAACTAAATTTAAATGGGATAGTTAGCCCTAGCCGGTTTGGCTCAGTGAATGGAGCGTCAGCCTGAGGACCAAAGGGTCCCGGGTTTGATTCCGGTCAAGGACACGTACCTTGGTTGCAGGCTCCTCCCTGGCCCTGGCCCTGGTTGGGGTTCGTACAGGAGGCAACCAATTGATGTGTTTCTCTCGCATCTATGTTTCTCTCTGTCTTTCCCTCTCTCTCCCACTCTCCCTAAAAATCAATAGAAAAATATCCTCAGATGAGGATTAAGAACAACAACAAAAATGGGATAGTTAAAATCCATTCATTTGACATATCTATCCTCTATAAAAACCCCAGGATTTTAGAAACCAAGATGTATATGCAACACATGCACTGCTGCCAACAGCTAAGGCTTCTTCCCAATTTAATTTTATTAGCAGAAAAACCACATGAAGAAGGGGGGAAAAAATAAATGTTATTGAAAAGATCATATAATTTCCCATTAAATGCTACCAAACAAAATGCTATTTCTCTCTCTATGACTTTTCTCGAAGTTGTTCCTTAAGGCTGGCTCATAGCCTTCTTACACATGGCTAATTCCTAGTCATCACTTAAAACACAAATCAGTTGGTCTTCCTTGACCCTTCTAGTTCATATTTTTTTTTTCTAGTTCATATTTTGTCCTCTATTTCATATGCAATAATTCTCTATGCATTTCCATACTTAGTTCACTAATTACCTAAGCATATATCTATTTTCTTCACTACACTTGAGAATAAAGACTTTTTTCATATTCATTGATTACCAATACATATTGGTAATGTGTATATTTTCTTTCTTTTTTTTTTGGTTAATCCTCACCAGAGAATATTTTTCCATTTATCTTTTAGAGGTAGTGGAAGAGAGAAATATCAATGTGAGGGAAACACATCAATTGATTGCCTCCTGCATGCACATCAACCAGGGCCCGGGCTGGGGAGAAGAAGCCTGCAACCATGGTATGTACCCTTGACCGGAATCGAATGCAGGACCCTTTGGTCTGTAGGCCAACATTCTATCCACTGAGTCAAACTGGCTAGGGCGGTAATGTGTATATTTTCTGAGTGAATGTTTTGTGGGAAAACAATGATGATGGCCAACATAACCTCTACACTTCTAACTTTTCTTAATCTGTCATGAACTTATCTAAACATTTCTAGAGGACAATTCTAATCAGGTCATTATTATACTTTTAAAAATCATTTAATTGTTACCATTTAAGTCCAACTTTCTCAGCCTGTAATTCAAGGTCCTCCAAATTACTGCATGACCCAATCTATCCCTCTAATCTTTTTTTGTAACATGCACCTTGTACTCAAAAACAAAAAAAGCAAAACAAACAAACAAACAAAAGAAGCCTAGAACATAAAATGTTTCCCAAACATACACCATCCCTCACATTTTCGCTATCTTTACTCATGCTGACATTCATTCTATTTGAAATTTCTTGATTTTCACCAACTAAAACTCCACTCTTCCTTCAAGTCAAACTGAAATACTATTTTTCCACTAAGTTTTTTTTTTTTATTCTGCCAGTATCATTCAGATATAATCAGGAGATAAAAGTAACACTAGTTAGGAAAACAGAAAGAATCTAACATAAAGGATTATTAACCAAGTATAAAGTTGGTAACTAGGTAAATGAAAAGGCAAGAAAAAACCCACAAAGGTATCATGTAGTTGGCAACTACAGAGAGCAATCACCAACCTTAAAATGGGGGGGAAAAGGGAAAAGGCTGGAATTTTTAAAACGTGGGAGCTTAGAGGAGCAACCCATGGAAGTGAAGTTCAGATCTCTGAAGAAGGGGCATTGATTGGAGGAGGGTCCCAAAGTTTGAGACTCACATCCTTGAAGGAGATGAATATTCAGGCTGGTTCTTTAAGAATTAGAAACATAGCAAACTAGATTCAATTTGTGCTACAGGGAAAAACTGATGTAGCCAGAATGAAGCAGCATTGCTAGGTTGTACAAAGAAACCCAAAATTAACAGGAAGTAAAAGAATGAAGCCCAAGTGCTGCCTTCCTCCTCCAGCCTAGCAATCTCCCTCTAGAGCCCCCTGCTGGCAATCAGAGTCTAAAAGCAGTCAGCTAGAAAAGCGGAAGCACTAGGCCCTGTCATGGAGCACAGAAAGGGAGGTTTCTGCCTGAGACAACTGCTTTGTAATTGGCAAACTCCCATACCACCAAAACTGAATATGACATCTCGGTACCTGGGATCTCTATGTCTTCCTCATGAGAGTGGTCAGCCTCACATACAGTTGTTAGTGTAGGAAATTACAAACCAGGTATACTAATAACTACTTTTCCCATTTTTGTGAATATGGAAAATAGGTATTCTAACAAACAGGCATATTTACTTTTATGGCAGGAATACTCAGAGTTCAAAATAGACTAAGAGTGCTTCACGAAAAACATTTTAAAAGTTCGTAAGAAAATTGTACGGCAAAACAAATGTGTGAATTTATCAACTTCCAAGAATGCTGTGTGGCCTAATCAACTACAAATATGTATAATTTCATAGCATTGAAAAAACTCAATATCAAGTCTCTACACAGGTTTTATTGCAAAGGTGCAGTCTCAAAGTTCATTCAGTATCTGTAAAGACATGTACTGGTTATACTAAAAATTTAACTGATATGAGGTATCATGCCCTCATATCAGCCAGATCCCATACTTTCTCTCTAAACATAAAAGCAGTCCTATGCCTTTAAAATTACTGTTGATTGATAAATTTTATTTGTATTCATTTCCACAAATTAAAATTTCCAATGGTATTCTAATTTCCTTTTACCTTCTTGCCTCTTACCCAATTCATCCCAACTACTTTCCTCCTAAAATAGGAGTGTGAAAGAGGTAAGTAGGCATATACTTCCAAATTCATTTCTTTTGCAAATTGTCATTATGTTTTGAGATTTTCACTCTCACATACTAATCTTGATTTTTAATGTTTCCCCCTTTCCAAATATTTGCTACTAGCAGTGAAAGACAGCTTAAAATAAGACTTTGTGTATTTCAAATAAAGTCTAAAAGATGAAGTAAAATGTAAGTGATGAAAAAGATGCTGTATTAAGTTCCTTTCAGATTTAGAACTTAAGTACTTTGTGCTCTGAGGAAAAGGTACTAGGCAGCTGCTATAATTTTACCTCTCCGCTAATTTTCCTCATTAGAGCAAAGAATCTTCACCCATATATCAGGGCAAGGAAAAAGGTGATAAGAAAGAGGAAATAAAAACAGATGACAAGGAGAGGGAGGTGAAGACAGATTTGGCAGGCAGTCAATTATTTCTTTCATTCATATTTTTGCCTTGAAAGGATAAAGCATATTCCACTTAAAAATTTCAAAATAAATTTAAGTAAACAAAAGGATGGCTAAACCATTAGCATGGTATTATAGAAAGAGCACAGGTTTTGAAGTCAGAAGATATGAGTTTTCATTGAGATTCTAATACTTCCTAATTGTATGAACTTACTGGTTTTATTTAACTCAATCCTTCCTAGTAAACTAAGCTCCATAATGATAGAAACTATACTTCTTTTGTATACTGGTGTAAGCCAAGCACCTAGCTCTATGCCTGGTAAATAGTAAGGTGGTTAGTAAATATCTGCAAGAACAAATAAATAATTTCATGCAAGTTTCTCCATCTCCGAGTCTGTTTCTTAATGTATAAATGGATATAATAACATTTACATTATACACTAGAGGCCCAATGCACAAAATTCAGGCCCGGGGGGGGGGGGGGGGAGGGACGCACACGGGGATGTCCCTCAGCCCAGCCTGCACCCTCTCCAATCTGCCAGCAGTCGGACATCTCTCTCACAATCCAGGACTGCTGGCTCCCAACTGTTATCGCGCTCCTCCTGCAGCATCACTATTATATGTTTTGTTCATTTTTTTTTTCTACTAGTATTTTATAATACAATCAGCAAACAATGTATGTCAAAGATGAAAACAAATGTAGTAAAGGTTTCCTTAAGTTTTTGAATATGTAACTTCATTTACTTGCGATTCATAATTTTTTTCCTAAACTGCTGTAAAATCAGTAAAAATGCCTTGGCAATTTTAGCATAGTTCCTAGGATATTGGTTGGCACTCGAAGGGTTAACTTGGCACCCTCTAGGTGATTTGCAATAGTACAGAATCAATAAATGATACCCACTGACATGTGTATGTTTTAAAAATTCTCACCGGAGGATATATTATTGATTGTAGAGCAAGTATGTCAAACTCGTGGCCCAAGAGACAATGAATATATTTGCAGCCCAGATAATGTAATGGTATGTAAGAAACTTTTTAATAAAAATTTCATAACTTAATTTTTACAATATCCTGGTATACATAATTATTAATAACGAACTACAATGTTCACTAAGGACTGATTATTATAATTGTGTTGCATTCATTTCCCTTATGCGCCATACGCGCAGGTGCACCATTTCTCTCCACTAACACTAGCAACGAATATTTTAGCAGCCGAATGCCATATTAGTCTTGTACTGGCTTATGTGGTGTGTGCAGCAGAAAATATTTCGCTTTCGGAAAACAAGAAAAATAGGTTTATTTGCGTTGCACTTATTAATTTAGGCAGTTATTCAGTGTCTGGTAAGATAATGTTCAAGAAAAAAATATTAATTTTTATTAAAATGTTCTATTATTTTATGTTAACAATTACTCATTTATTTCAGCCCTTTGTATTCAGCATGTCCCTATCAAAATAAACCTACGTTTCTATGAAAATTGAAGATTTTGGTTTTTTTCGGCCCACATAAACTTAAGCCTTGCTTATTTGACCCGTGTCAACCTTTGAGTTTGACATGCTTGTTCTAGAGTGAGAGGAAAGGGTAGAGAAAGAGAGAGAAAAGAAGAGAAACATCAATGTGAAAGAGAAACATTGGTTGCCTCCCAAACTCGCCCCATCTGGGGATCAAACCCGAAATCTAGGTATGTGCCCTGACTGGGAACTGATCCTGCCACCTTTTAGTGTACGGGATGATGATCCATTCAACTGAGCCACCTGGCTCTGGCTAATGGTTTTTTTAATCATTACTCCTTCTTTGTTACCTTACATTCATATGGATTACAATACTGTTTGTACACACCTGCCTCAAAGGTTTGTCCTCTTTAGTACTTACAGATTTTACCAATATAACAGTATGTAAGAAACCATGGCAAAATCTATAAGCACTATAGGTTGTTCTGAGGATTAAATAAAGTAATACAGTTAAATTACTTGCCAATATGATTAACACATGGTTAGAGCTCAATAAATGTGTAGTAAGCTTTTATTCTCTTACTAGAGGCCCAGTGCACGAATTCATGCATGGGTGGGGTTCCTTGGCCTGGCCAGTGATCATCGGGGCCGATCGGGGCCGTCTCGCCCAGTCCCAATCTGCCTATCAGGGCCAGTCAGCCGGGGGGAGGGGCCGCGGGAGGTTGGCGGGCAGCAAGAGGTTAGCTGTGGGAGCACATTGATCACCAGGAGGCAGCTCCTGCATTGAGTGTCTGCCCCCAGGAGGTCAGTGCACGTCATAGCGACCGGTTGTTTGGTCATTTGGTCTCTAAGGCTTTTATTTATATATAGATTAGTTTAAATCAGTGGTTCCCAACATGGGGCACACACCCCACAGGGAGGCAATTTGATTTTTAAGGGGGGGACAGTTGGAGAATGAGTTATTAACAGTGAATTTCTTATGGTTCTAGGGGCCTCATATATAGTATATAAATATATATTGTGACATATTTATACATTTCAGTTCTCTCTGTTTTAAAACTTTATTTGCTATTTTTCATATCACTTCATATTATTATTTTTTAACAATTTCTTAGTGATTTCTTCCTCAGTACTTCAACTGTCCTTTCGTTCTTTTACTTTTCTTTTTCATGGATGCCATATTCTTTGGAAACTTGTTTAGACCAAGTTATTGGCCTTTTAGGCTTCCTCCATGAAGGAGTTCACTTTTTGAATAATAAGAATTATATGTCAAGGAGGGGAGGCATCAGGATTTTAGAGATGCTTAGATGGGGCATGGCCAAAAAAAGGCTGGGAACCACTGGTTAAAATGTTGACTGGAGTCTAGTACCTGATAACACTTAAAACTCAAATGCTTTTGGCATAAACCAAATTGGATGTTATGATTGCAAAGAGATCAGCTATGGTACTAATCTGGAATAGATTACCTAAAATGATACTTCCAAATTCCAATGGTAACTACAGTAACTGGTAGGAAATCTATTCAACCCAAAACTGCCTTACAATTTCAAATGAGAGGCCAGATCTTAGTAGGGGGAAAAAAACAGCCTAATCTTCATTAGTATTTGGGGGCTAATCCTTCACAGTCTGGGTATTAGACCTGTACCAAACAAGAAAAGTTTTCTTCCTTTTTCTGCTCCTCTGGCATACTTCAAAAATTTTTTTAAGATTAGAATGTTTTAAGTGTATATTAAAGATCTAATTTAAATGCAAAGTAGATGTTAATCACATTTTCTTTATATGCCATTCATCATAAATTTTGAAAAGAGTATTTTCTCATCAGCCCATTATTTTAAATCTTAAGAATGTTTAGGTCTACTTTTCATGCTTTGAATAGTCATTCTGTCTGGGGAAAAAAATCAAAGTAAAATCTCAGTAGTTATTTAGAGTTGTTCTCTTTAGAAAACAGGTTGCTGCAAATATTTACTTTTACATGAAGTAAATAACTGGCCAAATAGAGTCAATCTGGCCATCTTTACTAAACATCAGACTCCATGATTAAATAAATAGCCACAGAAAGAAAATTCTGCGAGGTAATATGATTTAGGAAATTATTTCAGAAACCGGGCTGATTTCTATTAGCAAACAGCAAAGGATTCAGATGACAATAATTTAAAATGAATTACTTACTTTTGCAAACAATTCCTGTTGTTGTCTCAATAACTCTTCTTCAGGAATGCCAAGGTTTTCCAAACGAGAACTGGCCTTTCTTCTTTTTAATGCTACAGTCTTGCATTCTTGTAAAACTTCTTTTACTTCACTGATATAAGAGCCAAAGCCCAAACTTTCTAGGGCTAGGGAAATGAAAATATGAAAGAATGATAGAACACAGCTTTTCTTCTACATATGAAACTTAAAGGTTTTGTTTGGTTTTTGAGGAGGAGGTGGTTGTTTTCTAATAATTTTACTATCTTTCAGTTGCACAGCAATTATCTAGATGACTATGACAAAGTATTTTGTCAACTGTCTTAATATTAGATTGCAAATTAGTTAAAACTTAAGAACAGGCCTTCCCTTTTCCCTTTCTTGCTGACTAAAAACCAAAGCATTTCCTGTAAGAAAAAAAAAAGCCCAATGTAAGAACATGTGGTTTTAGTAACAAAACATTTTTCCTATGCCACTCATAGTAAATCAAACATCATTAAGTTAGTCACTTTCTCAAAGAAGACCAGAAAAGCAAATATTTGAAATATATTTGTTAATAATATATTTTGTGCCATTTGGCTTAGAAAGAGTAGGCTTTGATAACACATGCTCTAAATTTCAGTAGGAGAGAATGAAAGAGTAGATAAGTTCTTTTGTTCAATATACCAACAGGGACTATTTTAAAAAAAGACACTCAAACTGCAAAGTTTAAGAAATACTGTTGGAAATAATTTAAGAAATTCAGCATTTATATTGAGCCAATGAATTTCCCTTGAAAATAAAACTTAACAGGAAGCACTCTTTAAACATTTCATGTGGTGTGGCAGAAAAACTGGGATAAAGGACAAGTATAAGGATAAAAGAAGCATTTAACAAAATTCTTATTTTTAAAGCCTAACGAGGCAGGCAATCAAGGCTGTCTGGTTCTTTTAGCCAGGCAGTCCCTTTGCCTTCTCTTTCACGGGAAGGGTGGTGTTCTTTTTATTCACATTTTGAAAGAAAATTTTATAAGAAAATGCACTCTCTAAATGCTTTCTGTAACCCAGAAAGACAAGGCATAAAATTTTCTTTTGGCTCATAGTGTTTAGAATTATATTGTATAGTGCTACATGTTGATCAAAGACCTAAAGACGTATTTTGTTTTCTGAGCCAATGATGAAATAGAAGTAGTGAAAAACACAGTAAATGAACTTAATTTAGTTCATCAGTTCTTATAGTCTTTTAACAATTATGATGAACCAGACTCCCTCAGTAAATACGCTCTAAACTCTACCTTCAGGGATTTGCTCTTCAGGGAGAATACCAAATATGCCGTTACAAATCCACATTCCCATGTTAACTGTGGGTTTTTTTTTAAGGTATTTTAAATGATTTCAACTTTAACTACTTCAATTAAACTAATTTCATAATTCTTCTTTAAAAATGATCTGATGGCCCTAGCTTGTTTGGCTCAGTGGATAGAGTGTTGGCCTGTGGACTGAAGGGTCCTGGGTTTGATTCTGGTCAAGGGCATATGCCCGGGTTATGGGCTTGATCCCCAGTAAGAAGCGTGCAGGTGGCAGCCAATCAATGATTCTCTCTCATCATTGATGTTTCTATCTCTCTTACCTCTCCCTTCCTCTCTGAAATCAATGAAAATATATTTTAGCCCTGATCGGTTTGGCTCAGTGGATAGAGCATCGGCCTGCGGACTGAAGAGTCCCAGGTTCAATTCCAGTCAAGGGCATGTACCTTGGTTTCGGGCACATCCCCAGTAGCGGGTGTACAGGAGGCAGCTGTTTGATGTTTCTTTCTCATCGATGTTTCTCTCTATCCCTCTCCCTTCCTCTCTGTAAGAAATCAATAAAATATATTTTAAAAAAAGAGATTCACAAAAATTATTAAAAAAGGGAAAAAAAGAAAATATATTTTAAAAATAATTTAAAAAAATAAAAATAATCTGATGCCATAAAGTTGAGTACTATTACTTGAATTTTAAGTAAGGCAACTTTCTGACCCTACCTTGCCACCCCAAAACTTCAGTAACACCCAAAAACTTCTGAGTTCTGTGTATCAAATTAACTGCTGTATAATTCTTGGCCTCAGGAAGCTTGGGGTATAGTGGAAAACTAAGTGAAGATTAGGCAGCCTGCATTTTTTCACTTGAACTAATAAATTATCTTTTTCCTTTTAAAAAAATATTTTTTATTGATTTTTAGAGAGGGAGGAAGGGGGAGGGAGAAGAGAGAAACATCAACATAAGAACAGAACCTTGATCAGCTGCCTCCTGCATGGCCCCTACCAGGAATTGAACCAACAACCTTTCAGAGCACAGGACCACACCCAACCAAGACACACTGGCCAGAGGCTTTTTTTCTTTTTTAAAGGCACAAGGACAGCAGTGTATTTTCAATAATATTGGCTGGAGACAAAATCAAAAGAAACCAAGTGAATGGTTTATGATATCCTGCCACATTCTAAGGAACATCTTACCACCTTAGCCCTATATCAAAGTCCTCCAGGATCTAGCTCCACCAACCTTTCCAGCTTTACTTAGCCATTACTAAACCCCTGCATACTTCTACTAAATTTGAGTGCACAGTGTTTCCCAGCAGGCACCAGTTTCCCACATTTATGTTGATGGTAATGCAGTCAAAGCCCAGATCAAGCTCCATCTTCAAATTAAGCTTGCCTGAGCCTCCTAGCCAGTGGTTCTCAACCTTCTGGACCTTTAAATACAGTTCCTCATGTTGTGACCCCCAACCATAAAATTATTTTCGTTGCTACTTCATAACTGTAATGTTACTACTGTTATGAATTGTAATGTAAATATCTGATATGCAGGATGGTCTTAGGCGACCCCCGTGAAAGGGTTGTTGGACCCCCAAAGGGGTCGCGACCCACAGGTTGAGAACCGCTGTCTAGACAGACGTATTCTTCTCCTTTTGAAATCAGATAGACATAGAATTTAAAACTTAGTTGTCACTGTATTTGTATTGTATCATCTTGGATACATTACTTAACATCTCAAAGCTTCAGTTTTCCATCTCTAAAATGAGAATGGTATTTATTCCATATCTTCCTACAACCAGAAGCAGTATAGTGGTTAAGCACGCAGACCCTAAGTCTGCCAGGGCCTGACCCCCTGCTCTATCTCTATTAGCTGTGTGACCCTACATAACTTCCTTCACCTTTGCCCTTAAAATAAGAATAACAGTATCTACATCTCATCAGATTAGATTGCTGTGAAGAATAAATAGATATAAAGAGCTTAGAACAGAGGTTGGCCCATCGAAAAGCAAAATAAAATATTCACTATTATATCTGCATTAGTTCTAGGGTTGTAGGAATCAACCAAGTAATTAATCTAAGAGATTTAACACACTGTCTAGTACCTAAGAGTAGTTTAACTGACTTGGACTGTGTATTATTATTCTTTATTTTTTTCTCTTACATTTAAAAGAGTCCCTTAATAAGGATATAGAACCTAAATAAATAATATAGTTATGCATTATCACACCTATTTTCAAGTTGAACAAATATATTTATAAAATATTAAATTTACAAAATTAACAAATCAACACAATAGAGAAATACCTCTTTGAAACATCATAAATTACCAGACTAGACATTTAAAAAATTCATTCCAAACTACCTTTAACCACGGAGGGTTTGGGTTAAAAATTAACAAAAACAACTCACCTTTAAAAACATCTAAGGTTGCCAGGACCGGTTTGGCTCGGTGGATAGAGCGTCGGCCTGCGGACCAAAAGGTCCCGGGTTCGATTCCGGTCAAGGGCATGTACCTGGGTTGCGGGCACATCCCCAGTGGGAAATGTGCAGGAGGCAGCTGATCGATGTTTCTTCTCATCGATGTTTCTGACTATCTATCTCTCTCCCTTCCTCTCAGTAAAAAAATCAATAAAATATTAAAAAAAAAAAAAAAAAATCTAAGGTTGAGAACACTGCTTTAAAAAAAATTTGCAAGTAAGTCCTAGGTTAATATTTATTATTCAATGAGCTGCTATATACAAATATTGTACTCACAATAAAACACTTTAACAGGAACAGCCATAATTTAAATTCAAAAACTGAATTTACTTTAATCAAAAATTTAAATACATTTAGGCTAACATATTAATAACTGGATATAGTATCTTCTAAACAGGGAGATACTTTACATCATTTCTTATCATGTAATAGTAATCATTCCCATTTTACACAAAGTAGAATCTTAAAGGATAAGGGAAATATCTCTTAAGAAGGGTTACTATTTATGGTTATAAGCAGGCTGTTCAATGCACAACAGTACCGTATCTAAGGAAGGCCATTAGGTATAAACATCATAGATGTGTATGTTTATAAAATAGTGTTATAATTTTATGTTAAAATCTGTGCCTTTTCTGGCAGATGGTGATTAAGGTTTTTAAGGAAGGTATATCATTTTCTAATATGTACTAAGGGACTTTATGGAATGTTAATGATCCTGGCTCTAAGGATTTCAGAGTAATATCCAAAAAATAATCATCTTTAAAAAAATTGTGGGTAAAACACACACATCATTTGTTCCTCAGAGGTCTGGTTACTACCCTCTGTCATTTATCTTAAAACTATACCCAGAAAAATACATGGTATATTAGAGGGGGGAAAATCACTTAGCAAACTTTTCAATTTGAAGGACATATATTAAAGAGATACCCACTTAGAATAAAAAGTAAAAACTTCCACCACCAATAATATTGAAGTTTAATTTTAACAAAAATTTGTTTGAATTACTTTATACTTCACAACATAATCATGTTTTTCATTAAAAAATATAACATTCTCCAATTTCTGTATTTTATTTTGTATGTATGTTGGGGGGAGGAGTGTCTGTGTAATGTAATTCACTTAAAATACATTAAAAGGATGTAGCCAAAGTGACATTTTGGCTCATAAGCAAGGCAAGGTTTCTGAAGACCCCCTTTTTTTTTTTTTAATATATTTTATTGATTTTTTTACAGAGAGGAAGGGAGAGAGATAGAGAGTTAGAAACATCGATGAGAGAGAAACATCGATCAGCTGCCTTCTGCACATCTCCTACTGGGGATGTGCCTGCAACCAAGGTACATGTCCTTAACCGGAATTGAACCTGGGACCTTTCAGTCCGCAGGCCGACACTCTATCCACT